ATTAGAATTCAGAGCTTTCCAGCTCCCACTCCCATTCCTTGTCCACTCTCTCATGCTGGTCTCTTGACTGGGCATGCTCCCTGCAGGGGATCTTCAGATGTTACGCTGGCCGCTCTTCTCCTTGAACTGAGAGGAGATAATCCTTGGTTGTTGACGGTGGCAATGTCTTTCAGGCCAGCGGCCAATGTGAGACTAATACAGACAGAGATACTCCACTGGAGCAGCATCAGTGAGCCTTGAGCATAGATTCATCACTGGGATCGTGTAGTCTGACCTCCTGTATCACACAGGCCATAAAACTTCTCAAAATAATTCCTACAGCAGATTCTTAGAAAAAAAATCATATCTTGCCAGTGATCGGGAATCCACCATAACCCTTGGTAAATTAATCCAGTGGTAATTACTCTCGCTGTTAAAAATTTACACTGTATTTCCAGTCTGAATTTATCTAGCTTCAACTTCCAGCCATTCGATTATGTTATACCTTTGGCAGCTAGATGCAAGAGCCCATTATCAAATATTTGTTCCCCATGTAAGTACTTATAGTCGGTAATCAAGTCCCTCCTTAGCCTTTTCTTTGTTAAACTAAATAGATTGAGCTCCTTGAGTCTGTCACTGTAAGGCAGGTTTTCTAATCATTTAATGCTTCTCATGACTCTTCTTTGAACCCTCTCCAATTTTTCAACATCTGCCTTGAACAGTGGACACCAGAACTGGGCACAGTATTCCAGCAGCCAAATACAGAGGTGAAATAACCTCTCTACTCCTACTCGAAATTACATTGATGCATCCAAGGATTGCATTAGTCCTTTTGGCCACAACGTCGCATGGGGAGGTGGAACGGAGCTGACCAGAGCTGTGTACATTGGGTGTCCTTGGACCGTCATCTAGAGCCAGTTGAAACTCAGGATTTCTGGTTCATGGGAAATTTCGACATATTGAAATGTGTTTTGGAAATTTGTCTGAATCAGATGCTTTATGTCAAAGTATCAAACTGTTTCATTACAACACAAAAGGAGACACTTTGATAAAAGAAGATGAAATGTTTCAATAAGTACCAAGTAACAGCTGCCTTGAAATATTCTATTATTTTTATTTTAAAAATAATTAAACTATTGTGTCATATGAGTATGGCAGTAGCCTCACATTATGCACAACTACTACTGGCATATTATAAAGCAATGTACAAATCACTAAAATAATATAAACATTAAAAAACAATAAAATATTTGAATTTCCCCGAAACTAATGATTTTTATTCATTTCGAAAGATTTTTTCGGCAGGAGCGTTCGTAGAAATCAAAAGACATTTTCCGAAACTTTTCAATTTGTGAGGAAATGGCATTTTGCATTAAAAAAAAAATATTTTGATGAAACATTTCCAGCTGACTCTGCCTGCAGCACATTGTCCGGCAGCAGGGCTGCAGCCCAGTGAGGAACGCCTGGCCCTGAGCTGGCCTGAGCATGACACTAATGGGGAGGTGAAACCAATATAAATGCTGATGGTGAGCAAAGCCCGAGTCAGTTTGCAGGGGGTCAGTCCAAGCCCAGCAGCTCCGCAGAGCAGGCATCTGGGCAGCGGTGGGCGGGAGAGGCGGAGGGTGTCCTTTCAGCTAGGATGAAGCAGAGCTCAGGCTTCAGCCTGCAAATGTCACTGTCTGAAATAAACAAAGGTCAAGATGAGCTCTCAGGATGAAAACAGTTCCTCCGGGTGGGGCTAAGGCCCCCACAGCCCAGCCTAGGGGAATTAGTGCCAACGCTTAGACGTGTTCCAGCACAGGAAGGTCAGCATCACCGATCCGTCCCGGGACTGCACCATGGGCCGGAACTGTGTCCTCTCCACCTGCCCCCTCCTTCCCCTTTCCCCCTTCTGCCGCCCTGCTTCTTCCCCAGCACTCCTCCACATCTCCCCAGACATCTGGATCCCCGAGCGTCCCCAGGATGTTTACTTGCTGACCGACCGTGGGAGAGTTTCTGGAGCATGCGCTGCTGCTGCTTGGTCTGCCATAGGAGGAGTGGAGATGCTAGACGGGTGGTCATGCAGCTGCACTCCGATTCCAGCCCCGTTCCCATCCTGGCCTCTCTGGTCCCAGCTCCGGAGTGTGCTACCCATTTCTGAGCCTTTTCCTGGACGAACTTGCATGCCCTGAGGGTCACAAGCAGGAAGGAAGGAGACCTATGGGTGGGTGGGTAGGGGGAGTTAGGACCCCAGAGGGCGGGCGTGGGGGAAGTGGTTGTCGGGTGAGCACAGGAATACAAGCTCATGGCTCAGACCATGCCTGTCTCTTTTAAGGGAGCCAAATCTCCCTTTCTCATCCCCTCCTGCTCCGAGCGTCTCCCTCAGTCACTGCCAAGCCCGGCTCGGCTCCTGCCAACTCTTATTTTAGTGCATTGTTTCTCAGCTGTCCCTGGCTGGTGTCTCAGTGGACTGTTACCCAAATACTCACACTGTCACAAGGGTTTCTCTCCCCGTAAATGAGCGGAAATTGGGGCAAAGGTCTGGGGGGCGGGGAGATGCTGGCCACATTCCCGGTTGCAGTGCCTGGGTCCTGTGTGCTGATCCTCCCTGTACCCTTATTGCTACCCCAGCACCATTCAGACCTAAGAGTCGCCTGTGAGGCCAGGTGTGTTAGAGTCTGTGTGTGAGGGATGCAGGGCCCCTAGCTGCCCTGGCCATGGAGCTGGGCTCAGAGAAGCCTCTTTTGTCCTGGGTTGCGTGTGCTGTTGTGATCACATGTCCACATGCGTGTGCCTGCTCATGTGTGATTTCCTGCAAGGGCCATAGATTTAAACACTTCTCTGTGTGTGACAGAGCAGCTTTGATCCTGAAGGGTCCCACGGGGCTTTACAAGAGAAGGGGTGTAGGCTAGTGATGGAGGCATTGTCTGGTGGTCTGAGCATGGGATGGGGAAGGAATAACTCTCCTGTCTGTGTTAGTGATTCCCTCTGAACCCATAGGCCTGTCACTGCTTTGTGCCTCAGTTATCCCCCTCTAAAATCACAAGGACACTGCCATCCAGAGCTGGCTGAGAAATGGGGGAGGAATTTTTGTGGCCTTTTTTTTTAATCCACTCCCTTCCTCGCCCCCATATTTTAAAAAAGAAATTTAGTATTTTGAAATGTTGTTAAAATTTGAAAAATGAAGAGCTAGGTGGTAGGAACGCAGGGGGGAAATTCAGGAAAAAGAAATCGCCCTTCAACCTTTTTTCCTTTGTAAAAAAAAGTCTAAAATTAGAAATTTCAGCAGAATTTCAAACCTGGAAAATTGTCGCTCGTCTGTGCAGTCTCTGTGTCATGCGGGGGTGTTCTGAGCATGAGATAGGCTTATTGTTTGTCAGTGCTGATGGTATGTTCAGCCTTGTGCAATGCACAGAAGCACAGACAGTCTCCACCTCTAGGCGCTGACAGTGTAACAGGTGGATGCCCAGAAGAAGGGACTTGCTGGGAAACTAGATTGTATATCACTTTGGACACATAAAGGGATCTCGTCCATCACCATTGAAATGCACCCGCCTCGGCGGCGGAACGTGGCATCTGAAAACAGTGAACAGCAACACTACGCAACAGTATAGGCCAGAAAAGGAAGCAGAATTCTGCGTCCTGTTGACATCCAAGGGGACTGTTGGGAGGCAGAATGAAATCGCATACCTGTGCGATCCTAGGGACTAATTGCACAGCCCTTGATGCTGACAGCCACAACTGAAAAGCAGACAGAGCACAGAGGGACATCACCTCAGCCCGAGCCCTGAGGGAGAGCAGCAAAGCAGCCAGGAACTGGCCTAAAGGGAGGGCCAGCCAGGGATTGCCCCCCCCGACCAAGGGAAGCCGACTCCTTGGGAGGGGTGAGAGGGTGGGCCAGAGTGGGAGGGGGCAGGGCAGATGATCCTTGGCTGGTACAATGGTTATTATAGTACAACTGGAGCCAGTCTCCAAGGGCCTGAATGGCTCCCATCTGGGCCAGGATCAGTGAAACAGAACGAAGCGTAAGCCACCTTTCCTCCCGCTCTCCTTAGCTTAGCTAGATCAATCAGTGTCACATAGGGGTGTGAAAAATTCTCACCCTTGGGCTCTGCAGTTAAATCCACCAAACCTTGGAGTAGACATGGGGGTGGGTGAGACTTCTAGTGGGTGCAGTTACCTTCTTTTCCCATGGCCATTGTGAACACTGTGAGGAGTGGAACGAGGCCCCTGCGCCGGGGGTGTTTCAGAGAGAGAACATTCTGCATCAGGTAGCTTCCCTGCCCCTCCTGTGCTGCAGCATAGACATTGCTACAGACCCCTGGGATTGCGTTTATTGATACAATGAACCACTCAAGAATGCTCAATATAAAGTTAGAGGGGAGGGGCCGCTGTCCCGACGCAGGCTCCCAAGCACTGCTGTGGAGCTGTTTCTCACCACCAGTATCCTTCCACCAGGGAAAATAATGTTTGCATGGCACTGGGCTACTTCATTAGTAGCTAACCATTACCTCTGAGAGAACAATACCGTGCCCTGACTTTCAGCTCTCGCTGGTACTGTCTTGTGTGGCACTGAGGCCGTTGTTGGCATTTTAGAAACAACAGGGACCTGCCAGCTGGTTTGCAGCTTTAGTGTACGTGCTGGGATTCAGTGAGTCTCGACGGGGCAGGAATTGCTCTTCCATGCATGTCTCTGGACTCAGATATATTTTCTTTAACTCTTTGTTTATTCATGTAGGAAGTATTAACAGGTTCACAGATTCTTGCCATGTAAATATCAGAAACAAAACAATTATTGCAACAGTGAGCTTTTGTTTAACTAGACATTATCCAGGAATATAGTCCTCAGACCTTTCTGTTTAACAGGGTGTTACCATATTACAGAGTGAGCATCATTCCAACACCTGTAATATGTCGTTTCTAGTGGTTTTAATAATCTGAGTGAAATCTTTCTGTACATTTTTAACAGATTGGGCATGTCTACTGAATGTTAATATTCCAGAATATTGGACAGGTGTGCTGTGTTTTTGCAGGTGAATGTGCTTTGGGACTCAGATATTTTTAGCGCAGATGATTAATTGTTTAGCACCTTCCCCTGTGTCTTTTTGGCTTTGACCATTGGTTGGATGCACTGCTTGGGGGCGTTCCTCTTGGCTGGCCCCACAGTCACAAGGCAGGAATATTCTGAGTGGAGATGTTGCCATGGAATAGCAGCACTGCTAGAGTCTGCCAGCCAATTGGAGCGCAGGGCCGCTTGGACCTCCTGAATAGCAGGTGTCCCAAAGTGAACCAACGTTCTGGAAGCACTGGCATTAGGAGGCAGGATGCCTGGCGTTTCCATCCTCCTTGGCCCTGAGTCAATGAGACTGCATGCCAAGAGCAACGGGATGCTTACTCTAAACATCCAGCAGAGCGTCTTCCCATCCAGGCTTCCAAAATTGAGCAGCATTGCAGAGGCGGCAGCTAATTTCCAGTGATGTTCCCTGTTTTTACCCACCAGCTGGAGTGACCAACATGGAAAGAGTTCAGCTGACCTGGCCAAGGTCCCACATGGCTCAGGAAGAATGTGAACCCAGGGTTCTTTACTCTATAAACACAAAGGCCCAGATCCTAATTTTCACTGATTTCGGCTTTGAGGATCTGGGCCTAGATGTCTGGGCTTTCTTTCTGTGATAGGTGGGTTTTCTCTGGGCGTGCTGGGTAGTAGAGAAGGGATTTAGGACATCTTTTTGGCTTCCCCATATTCCTGACCAACCATTTCGAGGACCACTTTCCTCTCCGAGGTCACATATAGGGTGAAGGCCATTTTTATGAAGGCCCCTCCATGTTGTAGGGCATCCTGATTCAGCCTATGGGAAACTGTGTGGGACAAACCACGTGTGAGAAGCCAGATTACAGATACCTGTAGAGGGCGTGAGCCTGGTTAGCGCTAGCACAGGGGGCTACAGACAAGGAAGATTTGGAGAATCCAGGTAGAACCATAATGAGATTCAGTCACATTGTGACCAAAATGGAGACTGTTTCCTCCCTGCTCTGCACTGCAAAGGGAACAGGCTGAGGGGAGTTAGTCCGGCTGTTGGGACTCAGGATGGAGTTCAGAATGTACAGTCCCTCTCTGTAGGGCCCAGCCTGTGGGGTACTGGGTGCCTCCCTCAAGGTACTGAGCACTGACAGCTCCCGTTGGTGTGAGTGGGCGCATAGGGTGCTGAGCACCTGGCATGGTCAAGGCCAGTCAGGGGAGCATTTCTCTGCATCCTGAGGAGAGGCTGCCTTGTCCTGATTTTCAGCACCCTCTCTCTGTCTTGGCCAAGGATTAGCTGCTTACCCTGGGAACTGGCTGGAAGCAGACGTGGGTGAGGGGAGTTTCATGGCTTGATCTGTAGTTAGTTGTATTTCTCTTGTATTTCTCATGGGCCAGGGGATGCCCATGCTCCTGTGCTTTGACAGGGCTCCAGATATACAGTTCAAGGTCTCCAATCTAGGTACCGTGCCCCTCTGCTCAACAGCCCCACCCGTCACTGGTGTTCAGGTAGCTTTGGGCTCACACCGTGCAGCTGCCAGGGGTTCACCTTCTTGCCTTCCTTGTTTTATAGGCAGGCCGGTATGCCCAGGTTGCTGAGGCCTAGTGGTGGTTGTGTAACTGTCACTGGTATGTAACCTATGCCCTCAGGCCCAGAGTCCCAGGAACCACCACAGCTAGCTGAGAAAGGGCAGGGGTCTCTCCTCCCCCAGGATGAGGAAGATCAGTGGGATTTCCTGCTACATGCTGGATCGGAACGCAGGCTGAGAGTCCCAGGGAGTGAGGTGTAAGTGGCCCCAGGTTCACTTCTCCACAGCATCCTCCTTCTTTTCATTCAGGTGACACTGGGCTCCCTTCCGGCTCAGACACTCCCGAAAAGACAGTGATACTGGGGCTGATAAATCTAGAGGCTGTTCTTCCATGGCTATAGGAAAAGACAGGGTAAGAATTACACTTGGGGCTCAGACCTGCCTTTAATCTCCCCTACAGCAAGAGGCAGAATTGACCCTTCTGTTGTTAGAACAGATTTGGTCAGTGATAGCAAGAAAACTCCATCTTTTCCTCCCTTCCCTCCCAAACACAGAGAGCTGCAGGACCCTCTGGTAAAGGCCCCATCAGACAATCTGCTCTCACGGACAGGCAGGAATAGACAAGTACAGCCTGGGCCCACGTGGGGCAGGGTCACCTGAGAGATGATCCCTATCGGAAGTGTGCAGGGGAAGTTCAGTGGCCACCTCCCGTGTGGTCTCGCTGTCTTTTGTCTCCAAAGGGCATGGCTTCACTTTGGTCTCATCGAGAGTGTCAGTGAGTGATGTGTGACTACCCCCTCGTCTGTCCTCCCACAGGGGAGATGTGTACATTCACCTGCAACAGGAATTGTTGCTGCTGCGAGGAAGCCCTGCACTAGAACGGGGAGAGGGGGCTGTGAGTCGTGACTAAGGTACATCAGCAGAGCTGGGGGCTAGGGATTGAACAGCAGGGCATGGTGCACATTAGGAATGAGCAGAGCTGGGGCATTTATCTAGGATGTATTAGCTGGGGCGTCACAGGTCAGGAGTGAGGGGCACTGGCAGAGCTGTGTCAGGGAAGCCCTGGATTGGAATAGCCTTGGGTGCTGCAGATCCGCTCTGAGGAGCTAGCAGAGCTGGGGAACGGGGTGTGTTTGGGCAGCTTACAGAGTGCCTGCCTCTTGAGCTCAAGCCAGTGATATGCAAATTTCCCCACCCTCCTTCCTCCATAGGCTCATCACTTCTGGAGTCAGACAAGCACATTCCTGGCCTGGGAATTCCCCCAGCTTGCTTCAGGGATCCTTGCCCTAGCAACCTGAGTTGCTGTAAAGATGATGTTGTCCAGGTACAGAGGCTGGACCCTCCTTCAGTACATTGTGTTTCCTTCCTGGGTTGTTTCTTTGGGGAGGAGGTTGTGCAAGGAACAGCCTCGCTCCCTCCCTCCCAGGGTTTGGAACTGGTGGTAGGATGGAATGTGCTTCCAGCTGAGCTGAACAGGTGCCCAATGCTGCTGGAAAGGATGCTCTGCTGTAGGGAGGATTTGATGGGAAAGGCCTTTATGCAGCACATTTTGAGGATGATGTTTGTTTTAACCCATTGTGCCCACTTCTGGCAACCCCATCCAGATAGGCTCTGCAGAGCCACACCTGACTCTTGTGTGTTGTTGCGGTGAACTCCTGTAACTTGGCTTTGTGCCATCTCATTTGTTACTCCCAGGAGGACAGCGGATCCCTGAGTACTTCCTGGTTCAGGGCTGCGTGCCCCCAGGGGAGGTAGGCACCACATTTCTGTGCATTTGGCTCTCTTGCGGTTGGGTGTGGCACACAGCAGTAACTTGTCTCACCTGCTGCTGCTAGGTTTTAGGTGTCTTGAGTATCTTGGAACTCTGCCACTGCAGCAGGGTAGTGGTTTCTGCCGCTCTGAACTTGCCTGTGGTGAGTCTGATCAGGAATCCGGCTGTTTCCTGATTGGTGCTAGGGAGGGTTCTGCCCATTTCCACTGTGCCCGAAATCGGATTCTTCCCCCGCTCTGTTCCCAACCTCCCCAGGTGAGAAGGGTGTGGGTGAGAAGGGTTTGGCACTTTAGGGCATGTCTACACGGAAAAACAATTTGGCTTAAAACGGCAGTGAAGACATTGCAGCTTGGCTTTAACTTGGGTTAGCATCTTGACTTCAATCTTAGGCTGCCCTATAGGTTTGACCTTGAGCTGCTGGCCTGAGTTAGAAGCCGAATTACCCTGTCTCCACTGTTACTTTAACCTGAGTTAGCTAAGCTGAGTTAAGAACACACTGTTATTTTGCAGCGCAGACGTACCCATTGATGGCAGGGAGGCAGCTTTGCTCTCTTACCAGGTGCAATTGAGCCACGCGGTTTGCTCCGTGGTGAGTCACTGGGCCAAATGATTAGTGCAATTACCCATGTGTATTTATTTCTGATCTGTTATATATTATCTTGGAAATCAATAGCGAAGCTCATTCCCAGCCCAGAGCAGGGACATCTCTTTCTGTTCCCAGGCCAGGGTCTGCCAGACCCTCCAGATCCAGTCTCTACACCATGCCTGTCTCAGATCTGCATCAAAAGCCATTCTGACCTCCCTTTCCCGGCTGCAGCAACACAGATCCCGGCCTGTGGCTGACAGATCATTATGAGGGGTGTAGGATTATGCTAGCCCATCTTCTCAGTCTTTGCTCACCATCGAATTTGAGAATTGCCCCCTTCTGCCTCCCACATCAGGACATGCCCTGGAACTTTGAACAGGCCTAGGGCAGCCAGTGGGCAAAAATTAACCCAGTAATTGTGAGTATCATGATGGAAGGAAACCCAGGAAGGGAGTCCCCTTAAAAATGCAGTTTAGATTTTCTCTCCCGCTATGGGATCTGAGATGTAGAAACAAAATTATTGCGTGACCTGAGCAATCCTAGGAATTTGGCATAAATGATTCCTAGCTCCAGAGGGACGGTTGATTCCATCAGATTGACTCCTGACATCCTGGCTTTTTGGATTGTGAAATGTACCAATGTGCCAAACCTCATCAGCAGAAAACAACATAAAACTGGCTCTCGGAGGGGCGGGGAGGGGGCTGGCCCAGGCTGGTTAGCTAGTGTTTCCTGGTCCTTAGCTGCTCTGCTCTCACAAACAGTAAAGGGAATCCCCTTTCCCAGCTACTTCCAATGCATCTGAGGTGGTAAATGGCCAAGTGCTGATCTGAGATATGGAGATGGGGTTCATTCTCTTGGAAGATGCCTACAGTGCGAAGCATTGGGGTTAAATCTACAGCTCTGGGGCCTTCTCTAAAATGCTGCAAGTGCCAGGGGGAGACCCCCCAAAGATTTTACACTGTCCAAACAACTATGTTTAGTACCTGGGCTGGCTTAAGCAGGGCAGTTTAATTCACTTGTGGCCAAACTGGATCATAACTGCAGTTCTGGGCAGGGCCAAAGCAAGTTGTATCCCAGCGTGAGCTTTTAGGCTGGGCTATGTACCTGGTTTGCTCCCATCTACACTGGCAAGAGCAAGTTGTTTGTCACTATGTGGGGAAGGGCTCCTGTCCCGCAGCAAGCTGGTTTTTATAGCTTTGATCTATATTTATAAGATCCATATTTACGATTTTGTGCTCTCTGCATTACTGTCCTCCTCTCAGAGCAGTGGGGACCCTAGACGGGGTGCTAAATGCAGAACAAGTAGACAGTGTCTTCCCCCTGTTCAGCTGTGACTAATCCCAACACTGCCCACTGTTTATTTTTATACTGATGAATAATGAGGTTTCTCTTGCTGCTGCTACACTTGTTTCTGACTGTTTCCAGTTAGTTTAGATCAGTTAACGATTGTCCGAGTGGCTGACATACATGCAGGTTCTACACGCGCACAGATGTGGACGGTATTTTAAAGACAGACTTGCCAGTGAACTGCAGAATGCCCTGGGGCTTGCGTGGCCTTTCAGATCATTCTGGTGCATTAAATGAAAGTGGAAGACCAATCAGACCTCTCTGTAGCTACACACAGGTTGATTTTTTCTTTTTAAGGACAGATTTTTGATGTGCCACCAAAAATACAAGCTTACAACTACTCTAAAGGCCCCAGTAGAAGTACCTAGTTTTCACACACCAATATGTCCGGCTGATTGCATACTCTGCACCAGAGTATCTGAGCACCCTGCAGAATCCTTCAATCCGAAGAGGTCTATCCTACAATTATGTGTGTAGATGAATATTGTTGGCATGTAGTTGCGACTTTGGCCTTTGAGTTGTGCAGGCAGCTGTATTGGAAGGGCGTGGCCGAAGGGGGATGCTGGGGCCAGACACACACCACTACCTTCCTTCTAGCACTTCCTTGCTCTCCCCCTCTCCCCCCGTGTTTGGTGGCTTTTGTGTTCCTGGCATAGCAGCTTGCTCCTCAGTGAGACTGCCAGAGAGCAATGCAGTGTGTCAGTGCCTGTCCCCGTGCACGTGGCTGATTGCTCCCACTGGCCAAGGGCTGACGGAGGGCAGGGAGATGTTGTCACAGGCACCCTGGCTCAGCTTGTACTGAATCCAGCAGGAGGCCCAGTAATAAATGAGGATGCTATATTTAGAGGCACAGTCTGGAGGAGCGTCACATTGTTGCCAGCAGATTTACTACACAACACAAGCAGGTTTCCCTGCCTTGCTGCTGCTGCTTCTCTCTCAATACCACCTTTCCAGCAGGATTTTATGGGAGATCCAGTACCAGCCAGAAAAAAACACGCCTAAGGTTTAGTGCCCAGTCACGGACGGTCAGAGCAGGATCAGCTCCAAGGAGCTCTGGGAGGGTAGGGGTGAGGTGGCCAGGAGCCCATTTGCTTTGGCAAAGGCTTCATTTACTTGCAAGGAAGTTTAGTAACAAAGAAACATGTTCCTGGGACAGATCCATCTTCTGTGTCACACTCGCCTGGTGGTCATCCTGCTTTCCTGGCACGTTCGGTAACTCAGCCAGGCGGGAATCCTCCTCCCTACTTCCACCATGGCCCTCGCTGATCGATTTCTATTCCTCTTACAAAGGGCTGCGCGAACGCCTGCATTGCTGCTGCCCACAGCCTTGTGCAGAGCTCTCAGCACAAGTTCAGCACAGGGGAAATTCTACACTAGGCAAAAAATTTTTCCCCTCCATTGCTACTGTGGATCCAGCAACACTGGGACCCTCTAGTGCAGATGTGCTGTGGGCTTCCGCTGCCATTTCTGCATTGTGTCATCTAACCCAGCACAGGCTAATCCGTAGGGGTCTTACAACGCTGGCAGCAGCCCATGTCCCCAGTGTGGCTAACAATGAACTGAGGTGAGCAAAAGGGGGATGTCTTGGCAACATTTTCTTTGTGTAGCCAGGGCCATAGAGGCTTCTGCTAACCAGGGACAGCATGCTAAACACCCTGCAATCCGAGTAACAAGCAGATGAAGTGGGTGGAGAGGGGTAATTCATTGCAGGAAACGCTCAGCTGTGACCCCCCCATGTCTCCCACTCACAGCCCGCACGGCAGATCTCCAATGGAGTCATTCCAGGGTTCAATTAGAACAATACCACCAAAGGCTCTGGTGATGCAAGATTGCAGGGTCATGCTGTAGAATGTCTCCAGGGATCCGCAATGGACGGACATCCTTTAATGCTCAGTTACTTGTTTGTTTCACATCCCGACGGGGATCGTTTAGAACAAACACTGTCCAGATATTAGCTTGTTTCTCTCCTCCCCCCACCATCTTTCTTTTAAGAATCTGCGTCAGTTTTTTAAAGTCGAAGGTTGAGGCCAGGTCTAAACTACAGTGTTTTGCCAGCATAGCTCTGTCTGTTAGGAGTGTGATACTATACTGGCCAAAGAACTTCTTTGGCTGGTATACACTGCGTCGCCTGGAGGGAGCTTTGCTGGCATAGCTGTACCAGCAAAGCCTTCGTAATGTAGCCTAGCCCTGAGATTTTTCAGGCAGTGCAGAAGATCTTCCAATTGGCCTATGCACTGCTTTGGAAATCTCAACACAACGGCATTGTCTTAATGCAGGCAGGTGTCCTCACCCAGCTCTGCCAGCGGACCTTAGTTCTGACCTGCAGCATTCGTAACTAGCTCTGTGCTTCCCACACACAGCTCTGCCGAGGTACCTCAGTCCTGACCTACAGTACCTCTTGCTATTTGTTTTCTTCCTCACCTCTGCTCTACCAATGCACCTCTGTTTGCATCATGCTCCGTTATTCCAGGATTGAACCTCTCCAGAGCAGCTATCCAGTTGTTCATTTCCCAATAGTTTGGTGTTGTACACAAGTGTCCTCTAAGGTCTCTAATTAGCTCACTGGACATGTTTTGCTAGGAGTCTAAACATAGATGTGAACCTGGGTCCTCAGCGATGCAGTCAGTGAGTTGAGAGCCCCTGCAGAGCAGGTTTCCTGGAGCTGGTGGTGCATGGACCCTGCTGTCTTGTGTTGTCATGGAGTGAACACCCCAATGCAGCCATCTCTCCTCTCTGAAGCTAAAAGGCCCCTCATGATCCTCCCCATCTCTATGGCACATGGATCTCTGTCCCCAGCTGGAAGCAGTGTGGAGGCCACTTCACTATCAGCCGTTCGTGCACAGCAGCGTGGTCTTTCCTCCAATCACCCTTGGCGGCACACTGCTCGCATCATCAATACCGTAAAGCTCGAGGACACCTCAAGGTCTGAGAAACCTGCTGACACGGCTGATTTCCAGCTGCCTCACTCCGTGCTTCCTACCTTTCATAATCCCGTGCAAAAAGCAGAGTGCTACCACGGGGTACCAAGCTGCTACCGACACCGCAATCCGTGTTGCAGAGAGAGCATCTTGATAACAGTAGAGAAACTGCGGAACAGTGGTTCCCAGCCACTGCTACGTGCCACATGGCTCTGTCCAAGCATGAAGATGTGTCAGGGAAAGTAGGGAAGCTTGTGCAATGATAACGGAAGAGGATCTGCAGGGCTCGTTCAGCACAGAGGACAGCAGCATCCAGGGGTGGGGGGAGGAAGAGCCTGGGTATCCCAGGAGAGACCATTTCAGGAGAGGGGGGAAGTACCCACCTGACCGAAAGGCGGAGGAAGCCAAACTAATTCATATGGTTACAGTTGCCTCTGTTTACTATAAATACTGATACAATTAAACCAGCCCCTAGCGGTTATGACAGTTCAGATCCTCCAGGTGGACCTTGATTTGAAACAGAATTTCAGAACTTTGGGTCCTGATCGTAAGCTCAGTTGCCCAGGGTAGGTGCAGCCACATGGCTGGAGAAATGTGCTGGCTTCCTATATGCTGCAGCAGGAGCTTTCAGCTAGGCAGGGACATGCAGCCAAGACCAGAACGTCCGGCCCCTGATTTGACTGCAGGATCACCACTGGGCACAAGCCTGATGTGTCCTGGCACTTGAATTCACAGCCTCTGAGTTCAGTCTGTTCTCCACCTGCATTGCTTGCCTGGCAGGCGGGGGGGGGGGGGGGGG